AGCAGCAACATGATCAAAACCAAGATTGCGAAGTTGAAATTTGATCCAAGGTCTACTGAGGACACAACACCTGTGTGACTTTGTCATCAACGTCATACATTGCAATAGCAGACAAAATCTTCAAAGTGTGTGTTACTTAAAGTGTGCTACTTTGCCTTAAGTCTGTGATCAGTCATTACGTATCATTACGTCCTTTAAAGTTCCCTGGCGTTTTTCATGGCAACATCCAGCAAACCTATTTTTGGAGTTTCGGGCCTTTAGCATCCCTTTCCGCAAAAATATCAAGACGCAACACGACGCAACCTAATTTGAGGGATTTGGTGGACTGGAGCCCCCCACGTACCAAAATTTGGAACGGAAGCTAATTTGACGGGTCTGGCGAACCTACCTTTGCGCGAAAATTATGAATGCACCCTAATTTCAAGGGTTTGGGGCATTGCCCCCCTTGCCAAACTTCCAGATGCAAACCTATTTTTCGAGCTTCGGGCCTTTAGCAAACCTAGTTTCGAGCTTCAGGGAATCATCCCAGCACGTTAGGAAGACATGCGCATGAATCAACACAGCGCAAAATGAGCAGCTGGGAATGTCGACAACCCATTCTCCTTCACAAACACCCCCCCAAACCCTGGTGGAATCTGGACGAATCTGGTGTATTTGTTAATTATCTGGTCCCAGAAAATTTGGTGGGGTGAGTGTCATTCATTTGCAGATGATTTTCCAACATTTTCCCTTGAAACATTGGAACTTCCCAGCCAGCCAGTTTAGAATCCCAGGGAATGATTCCCAGAGGGTATGCAACTAAGCATTCACCAAAGGTTTACTGTCGAATCTGTTCGAGTATCCGATTATTCTTGGTTTATCGCCTAGGCTTGGTGTTTCCATGGGTTTTATCATGTCTTATCACCACTTTATGTGTGGTTTCTCTCGTGTTCGATGTTGGACCTGGATTTTGGATGGTAAACAAGGCTGCAACGGCAACAACCGTAGTGGTAATAATCCAAAATTTGTTGGCAGAATCTCGTTTTCCACGGTCTAAATCCTTAACTTTGATTTTGCTATAGTCAAATATAGTAAATGCAACATCTCGCAGAATCTCAACTGTCAAATGTCAACTCCCAACCTTTCATCGTCAAATTTTCGTTGCTGTCTGATGGATCTCCACGCGCTGTGTAGCCCTAGCGTTTCCAGAATAGTTTTGTCGTTGAAGACGGGCTGGTGATGTTGGCTCAGTGGATTGCAATGCGTTCAATCCAATAGCAAAACCCTGAATGGGTGGTATAATCCATCCTCAAATGGTGGGTTTATGGTCTTGGGTTTGCCACAGTGTCAACAGTCATGAACATACATCAACGTCATGCATGGCAAATGGCCGACGATATTTTCAATTTCTTCGCCTGACGTCTTGGTAGTGGTGACATATGAGTTGTTATCGAGTTCCCTGAAGTTTTTGATGGCAACATCCAAAGTGTGCACACAATTTCGGGAGCTGTGACACCAGGAAGATCCGGAAGATCAGGCCGATTCAGAACAAGTCGAAGCCGACGAAGCGGCAGCCGCGAAACGTCTGGGCCTCAGTCCTTACTGACTAAAGATAGAACTTGATGCTACCTCAGGTAGAAGATCTAGAAGGTTATAGAAGTAATTTGAAGTTGCACTTCAAGTTCTATAACATGAACATCAGGAACTTAAAAGTTCAATAAGTTCAGTTTCTAACTTATTCAATATAATTTCATATAATTTCCATAAGTAGCAGACTTGGACTTAGAGAAGATAAAACATAAAGATCAAAGGAACTGAGGAACTTCATTTCTGCTTCATTTCTCCCCGCGCCGAGACCGAAACATCGCCGAAGCGGCCGACGACGGCGACCTGGCGGCGGTGCGGGGCCACCTGCGCCGCGACCGGCGCTGCCTGGACCGACTCTTCGAGGTCGGGACGCTCCGCCGCCGCGAGGCCGCGCTGCACCTGGCAGCAGCCAACGACGAAACGGCGGTCGTCGCCTTTCTCCTGGCGAAGGGCGCGGCCGTGGACGTCCGGGACAGCCTCGGCCCGGGAGCTCAGAGCCGGGAGCCGCCGCGGGTGGTGCCTCCGACGCCGGTGCTGCTGAGGTTGGACTCCGCTGCATTTTGCAGCAAACTTCGGCTACGTGGAGAGCGCCAAGCTGCTGTTGGCGGCGAAGGCCTCGGTGGACGTCAAGAACGACAGAGGCTGGGGGCCTCAGCCGATGTCACAACCGTTTTGAAAACAGCTTTTCACCGGCAATCACAACAAATAGTTGCAGTTCAATGTGGCATGTTTTGATGCATTAAATTTGAAATCTCAGGTTCTTTCAACTTCGATGGGCATGGGATTTCCCTGGATTTATCATCTCACGTTCCCGTCTTCAAAGTTCCCTTGAAATTCAAGAGCCGTGATTTTGGGGCATGTCATGTCTCTGTCGCGATCAATGCAGCACATTTTGTTGAAACAGGTAATTTTGGAGTTCATCCTTGTCTTTGACATTTGCAGAGGGGACTCTTCTTGGATACCCGATAGCCAATGTGAATAGTGGGCAGTGCGAATGTTGATCACTTGAAATGAGATGTGATATATTGGAAGGGGTCAGTTCGAATGTTAGCTGTGGTTCCCAGGCAAAACGCCCTTGGATTATGCGAGAGCCAGGGGCGAGACAGAAATGGTGAACCTGCTGATGGGCACAGCCTCTTGGCTGCACGGGTGGCGCCCAAAGCACTGCAGTGTCACAATGGCATAGTAGGATATAGTAGGTGGGAATGTCAGCGGATGAAACCTGGTGAAACTGCTGGCATTTGGTGGGGATGAAAACATGAAACGGGGCGGGGATAGTGCGAGTCCATACAAGGGATGTTTACACATCCGATTTTGGATACATGAATCAGGGAACCCATTGCCACATCATCATCATCATCATCATCATCATCATCATCATCATCATCATCATCATAAGCCACTGGCCAAAAACTGAGCACGGCTCAATCACGAATCTGATTAAAGCAGCAGAGTTGACCCGGGACCCAACATGGAATTCTTTCGGTTGAAACGCTGTGCCACCCATTCAATTTCTATGGCCTTCAAGAACAAATCAGATTATCAGATTGAGCAAGGACAGAACAGGTATGTTGTTATGTGTTTGACTATCTTCAGCAACACATGACATAGCCTAAAGATCACCGATAGCAGAGGAGTAGGCATTTGTTCCATTTTGTTCCCTAGTATTTTGTTCTACCCATATCGATTTTGGGGGTTGAATAATTTTGAGTCCCAGATGTTGTTTGCATCTTTGCTCCGCCCAAGGCATGAAATATAAGGCCTGGCACCGGGAACAGCTCTGTGGTGTCTCATGTGCCTGCCAATTTTGGCTGGTAATGACGATTCATGAAGCAATGGAACCATCATCAAAAAGGTCAGGGGAATGATAAGCATGACTATGGGGCTGCCAAGCAGATCTCAGGGAGCTTTGTTACATTGTTCATTAGCAAACATGGGACACTTGATGAACATTCAAAAACCAAAGCTGTAAATGCTGGGCTTATCACAACATACTGGGCACCTTTTCATCAGCTGTCCTTGTCAGCAAGTTCTCCCCAGTGCAAGACCCTATCCATATACCTGTGCAACAAGCACCCTTGCGAGTTGTCTTAGTACAAGAAATACTGGACATGTCTGCGAGTGTCTGCCAACATGTGATTTTGGGGAACACATCTCCAGTCCCCTGCTTCGCCTCTCAGTTTTGCAGGTTCGCTATGATAATTGTGATTTCAACATATTTCAATTTTCGGGCCAAAGGTGCCTTTGGAGACTTTGGAGTGCATCCTATTGTATGAACAAAGACGCGCCACCCAACACCATGGGGTCCAGAGGGTATGGATCAAACTTGGGTCCCCCCAAAGTTGGGCGGCTTTAGATGTGAATCCTAAAACATCCTAAAACCATATGTCATATCCCCAAAATGATGAACATCTGTGGTTGCATGGGGCTTCTCGCTATACCAGTTTGGGACCCGGATTGAGCCTGGCAAGTGGTTGGAATCTCTGCTTTGCAGCCATTAGTTGTATAGCCTCACACCACTCATTTCATTCGGTGGTGGATTTGTTGTGATCAATGCCACATGGCTGTCTTTTATCAGTGATAACATGGTGAGCAAATGTCGGACTTCAAGGTCCAAGCTATAGATCTTAGGTAGCAACTCAGGCAGTTTTGCTGTCAATGCTGTCAATGCAAGAAGAAAAAAACTGCCCCCCCCCGGCCCTCGGAAAAATAAACTTCTTCAGGTAGTCTTGGAATACAGTTCCCACGGCTGTCGGGCGATGTGATCATAATCGCACGGAAGATGTATCGGTTCTTGTTTTGATTCGTTTGTGTTGGGTGTATTAGCTGCGGCCAAGTTTCACCTGGGATGAAATTGCCTTTGAACATGTGCAATGCATATTATTGCGTAATCGATGTCACTGGTTTCAGGTTCAAAGCAACATCAGGGAGTGAAACGCACATCAATATTGCACCATGTCAAAGATGAACACTGGTGCCACCCAACAACGTTCCAAGAAATCAAGACTTTGACCAGAAATGGCCCAGCAAAACAGTGTTAGACAATTGATTTCAAACCTCAAAATGGAATCTGCAATGCAAAACCCAGGGTTGCTTCTTAGTAGTTGAGAGGAACTTGTTTTCTTGGTGTTTCTGGCTGGGGAGACGCCCCGAAACCATGGCTTTCTCTATGAATTGTGATTTTGTTGTTTAGTGGTTCAAAAGCTCAATCACCAAGCACTCAGGGTTCTGATATGTGCTGATATTCCATCCCCATCGGGTTTCGCTTTGTATGACTATTGAAATAAATCACCTGCAAAAATAGGCTTTGCTCAAATCCTACAGAGATAGTGAGTGGCAAATTATGTTCTATTTTTTTGAGGGTTACTAGAATATTTCAATCATTTCAGGATTTTTTTTGGGTACCAACCCATTTTTGGGGAAGATCACCTCCCTCAACAGGGACAGACAGTAGAACCAATTTCGCTGGATGGAAGTGCAACTTCCAGAGATTCCGTTGTGGGGGGAACCCAGCCAGCGTGTGGGGCGGCCATGGGAAATGGCTGCGGCTCGGACACCCTGGAAATGTTGATGATCAAACTATGGGGATATCTTTGTGGACATTTGGTATACCATTTGGCCATTTAACATAGCGAACTGGAAAATCACCATTTATTGTAGGTACATCATCTATTTTTATGGGTCATTTTCCATAGCTATGTTAAATAACCAGAGGGTAATTGAAAAATCATGGTTCTTTGATGATTTATATATTATATTATTATATATTCGGGATGGATTAGTATCCTACCCTTACAGATTTAATTGGGGAACATCAGAATCCATGAATGGGGAGCCCTGTTTCTCAACCAACCTTTGTATGTTTTCGGGTTTTGAACACTGCTCAATTGCCATGACAACATATTCCATCATGTTCTTTGACAGAGGGACAATCCTGAGCTTTGACAGCCCCAATTTTGAGAACATGATAAATGATAACTTAAAAGAGTTTGAATATGACGAATGATTCTCATACGTTTTTGAGTTTTTTTGGTATCTCAGACTTTCAGAGCAAATGTCTTGGGATTGACTGCTTATCTGTGGCCACCGAGTTTAATAAAACCTGCAGCGCCAGAGCTAGAAAGAGAGAGAGAGAGAGACTGCACATGGTCAGTGTACAGTATACCCTCTGGTAAACTAACATAGCTATTGAAAATGGCCATTTACAATTGATTTGCCCATTAAATCATGGTGATTTTCCATAGTTTTTTGTATGTTTACTAGAGGGTACACGACATCCAACTCGTCGTATCTCGTAGCAAAAAACGCCTGAAAAAACGACATCCAGGAAGCTGCTGAGTGTCTTTGTGGATGTCGATGGCGATTCTTGGTGAAATTGGCATTGTCTCATTGGGAACATGATATCTTGGCCCGGATTCATAATAAACAATAGGGGAGGGTGGAATTATGGTAAATATATGGGAAATCTTGGGTAATAATATGGGAAATATATATATATAATGTCAACCCCGGATTAATAAACCATGGACCACAGTTTATTAATTAGGGGAGGTACTTCCCCAATAGTCATAAACCGATACTTAATTGGTACCCCCTCCAATTAAACAGCCTAAGGGTTTATTAATCCAGGGTTGACATTAATCCTAAATTGATATCTAAATGTTAGCTTAAGACGTCATATCTTTCATATTCTGCTATGTTGTCATATTTTCCATTGAAAACAAGACACATTCTCTGAACGGACGGATTTTTACGAATCAAGAGGCATCCTTCGTGGCACAAAATCAGACGCTGTGGGCGGTCAACATGTTGAGGTTTGGTTTGACCTCTGACCGAGGAAATCCGCGTGAAAGAGGATTTTCTCAGAGAGGTCCTGAGGCGGAAATTGTTTGGAAACTCTGAATCTAGCTGGATGAAGTTTGAAGCCTGGAGCACACCCGGGTCTGAAAATGGGGCCCTCAAAATTGCCATTGAATGGAGAATAGATTTGGGATATTCATGGATGTCCTGGATAGTTCATTTTCAGATAAACCCACCTCTTTTCAAACTTCGTCCAAGCTCATCGAATCTGATCATCTGCCGCAGTAGCTTTCGAAGCTCCTTTGGAGAGGACCGGGTTGGGTTGGGCCTTCATCTGAGCATCCAAAGATTGTGGAGATTTCATCAGTTTGGGATTGCCAAGTTCAGATTTTCTTGATGTTTACTACTTGGGGGTGCAGTTGGGATTATATTTTGTGGCTACAACTATGACAATAATTCCTATACGTTGGGAAATATGTAGGATGTTAGTTCGATGATGTTTCCCCGAGAATTTCCTGGTCTCCATCTTTTCTATCTATTTGGGGTTTGCTGTACCACATCTTGGACAAAGCCACATATCATCCCATATCCTTTTCCGTTCATTGATCGTGGTTAAGATTACAATGGCCTCACCATGACGTCATGACGTTGGTTGCGAAGGGGAATCATCCGAAAATTTCCTTTATTTCAGGTTGGTGAATTACAATATACCAGCCAAATGGAGATGATTCTTCTCATTGTTCATCAATAGGACGACAGTTTTTTTTGAGAAACAACAACGTTTTTGGTGTGAATGACCATATTTGGTTGATGGTTCACACTCCATGAGTCATTTGAGAATGGCTCAAAATGAACAATCCCACCAAAAAACTGGACAGTTTCAGATCCAAAAGAGACCAGTCGTGTCCAAAACAGTGCCCCAAATCAAAGGTCGCCAAAACCATATGTGCCATGCTTGAAACTTGGGTGATCTGCCCCATGTCGGGCGATCGTAACTCGACCTGGTAAATCCCAAGCATTCGAAGTGGTTTCTTGTAAGCCATACACCATCAATTTTCTTGTGTAGTGTATACTGGGTTAAATTTCCAGTTGGCTTGACGGGTTACTGTATACATGCATATTCAATACATAATACATGAATACATATAATTATATATATAATATACATGAGTATATATATATAGTTAATTATATGGATATGTATAAATAAATAAATGAATGAAGAAATATATATATATTTATAATATATATATTATATTATAATAGATCGAACCTCCCAACTTGGTTTCTCCGCCCAAACTGAGACTTCGTAGGTCGTAGATCTGCTCCGTGGGGAGTTTGTGGAGGAGGCAGCCGACGCGGCGCGGCGTCGGAGCCGATGGGAGCTTGTGGGAGATATGGCCATTGATGTGGATGATTAGTGTATATATATTATAGGGAATATATCCCATATATGATATTTTTAAAATGATATATAATTATTGATAATGTTTATACTGGAAAATGATAATGATTGGAAGATGACAATCGCGTTGTTTATTCCATGGGTGTTTGGCAAGTTCCATGGAGATAATGATAAATATCACATGAAACGTGGGCACAGTCTAATGGATTATATACTTTTTCTAGTATCAACGGATTGTAAAGGAATCAGTTGAATACATGAATAAAACTTGGCCATGAACATCAACTGTTTCATATCAACTTGGCCATTGTATACATAAAACCTAGGACTCAATAGTAATAAGGAATAAGTTTTCTGATAAGCCTAAGGTACTCACAAGGTTTACTAGTCTTACTGATTCTTAACAAGGACTTAGTAATAAGTGCCTACCTAGTATATGATGTGCTTGGTCGTTATTAGATGTAATTAGTGATTAGTAATGATTTACTTTTTTTTTTTGCATTAGTACTTAGTAACAAGAACGTAGATGTAGCGATCGAAATTGTCCATCAGCTGGATGGAGACTTTAGTACTGGCTAATTTGTTTAACCGTATGCAGTAAAAGGAAATATATATATAATTATATATATAGCTAATTTGCTATTCTTATAGTAATTTGCCTTTTTTTCACACTTATTAATGAGCTCGAAAACATAAATTTTGCTGGGTATCAAAGATATTGGCCATGTTGATGTGATTCGGTATGATAATGTCAAATATGGCAATGGGTCGAAGGGTCGAAGTTGGAGACCAATTGATATGTGAATTTGGACATAATTAATTTAAACAAATAAATAATATACATATATATATATATGTGGAGGTTTCCTGAAATGGGACTACCCCTAAGTCATCTATTTTAGTAGGATTTTCCTTATAAACCATCCATTTGGGGTACCCCCAGTTAAGGAAACTTATATATATATATTATACTCTTTATTTGGGGGTTGATAACTTTGACTCCATACCCATACTATCCCATATTGATATGGCTAGATGAGACCAGTGATTCTAAAGACTCATGCTTCGGTATGCTTGGGTAGTTTATTTGTAAATTGTTTGATATGTCATCAATAAATTGGAAGGAAATCCCGTGGCTCATTTAAAAGTGAATGGTTCGAAAATCAACGTCCCACCATTTTCCCGGCTGTAAACCATAGCCATTCCTTTTTCTCTTTGTTTATTCGAACCATTCACATGGACCATCCTGCTCTGAAGAGGAGAAAACCGCTTCAGCGGGTTCATACTCCAGTCTTCCGGAAAGAACCAACAACCATTAACAAACATGATGCTCAATCATGAATCCCTTCCCTCTTCAAGATTAAACACCCCAATCGAAACCATGGTGGATGTAGGGGATGAAATCACATATTGGCTACCATACAATGGGTGTTTATTAGTAGGTGGATGGGATGATGGGATCAGCAATGTTGTTTAGTAATGTGAAATTAAGCGCTAAGTTTTTGCTTGGATGCCGTACGTTTTAAAAAACACAACTTCAATTGGTCGATGGCCCAGTTCAGTACATGATTGGGATGACTCTCACTGGCGGTTTGACACTTTTGGTGGTTTGGAAGTGGCCTGAAACTCATTCGATTGGATAGTTTTATCGCTTATTGAATTGTGTTTGAAGATCATATCCAATATTCGAATTATTTGATATTCAAATATACAACGAAAACATTCCAATTATTTCATATGAACTGATACGCTGTATTTTTATCACCAACGTTTTTACGTCTTGTTCGCAGAAGGGAACATCCAGACAGGAAAACACAAACGAAGCTGCAGAACGAAGCTGCAGTAAAAAACTATGGCTTTGAACCCTTCAGTTCGGGTGACTGGGTGACCTCCCAGCAAATCAGCAAGAGTTGGTGGTAAAGATACCAACCCTGATATTATCCCATGAAGATGTTATCAAATCACCATACGTTTTGGCAATTAAACCTGGTTAAATCATCTTAAACCCCACATTCAGCGGGTAACATCCCCATTTTATCCCAATTTTAGCTAGTTAAATCACCATTTTTGGATGTCTTTGGCCACTTTTTTTGAACCAATATCCAACAACCTCCTGCTCCAATCGTTTCCGCGCCAGGTCAATGCTGTTCGAAGTGGAGTAGAAAGCTCGCAAGAGCAACTGCTTCAGGCGGAACTGGGATACATAGGGCCATAGAAAGGACCCTCTGGTTATGACTAACAGTTCGCCATGGAAAGATCCACCATGCTATTAATAGGTAAACCATCTATTTCTATGGGCCATTTTCCATGGCTATGTTAAATAACTGGAGGGCATATGATTTTAGAAGGGTTTGAAGTATCATGGAATGTGAAGGTCTATGCATACCTTTCAATGGAATGTGAATATAAATATATGGGATACAATGGAGATATCATAAGCTTTTGACACTTGAATAACTTTTGACTATGATAAAAAAGGGGCATCATGGGGATATCATAAGGGTTTAACCATCATGAAACCTAACTGGGAAAACCATATGGCAAGATCATGTGGATATGAGATACTTGCTGGGATATCTCCAAAAATGTGGTTTTTAACATGTTTTAACTGTTTATTTGAACGGGATAAAGATCGTGGATGTCCATTTGAGCAGTGGCTGCGTTTGAAACTCCCGTTGGATATTTTCGGATTGTCGGAATCCATGGACTGGGAAGTGGCCCCCGTATTTGGTGCCCGGTTGTGGCCCCCGTGAGTGGCCCCCGTTGCTCTCCACGCAGCCAGGACATGCAAAAGAACTATTCTTCAACAAAGGAGTTCAAGGATTTGGAGGAGCGGTGAGATCCCTGCAGGGTTTCGTTCCTGCAGGGCATATCGTTCCAGCAGGGCACTGAGGATAGGACGGATGTATATGGGAGGATTTTTTGATATGAATATAAACTGCTTGGTGGTGACTGGAACCATGGAATTTTATGACTTTCCATATATATTGGGAATGTCATCATCCCAACTGACGAGCATATTTTTTCAGAGGGGTAGGGCTCAACCACCAAGCAGATAAAGGTTGGTGAACAATTGTTCACCCGTGGCTTCTAAACCCAAACGTTGGGGGATGATTTTGTTGGAGGTTCAATGGTGGTTTAGAAATGCAAGAACAGGGATACAATATAATTGACAAATGATGATTGGTTGATGATTTTTTTGGGGATGCTGAAGAGTTTTTCCAGGATATTTATGGATGATACTTACCAACCATAATTTCCAGGTTTCCCACAGTTCAACCACTGTTCGGGGGTTGCTATTTATAGACATATGGCTGCAGCTCAAAATGTAAGGTCCCGATCCATACCCCGGACGATCCATACCCCTGATCTATACCCTTTTGAAGAGATACAAATCATTTGAAATCATTTGCGTAATTCCTTTGTTCCATACGTCCGGATCACTGCAAAACGAATTCATTGCATAACGATCCATACACGTTTTTGAGCCATAGTATTCGCATTGGGACCCTCATTTATGAAAATGGGAAATTTCATGAAATTCTCCACCTCCAAAGTGATATCTCATGCATTATCCCACAATGCCTATGCTTTTCCCATGATTTTGCCATGACACCCATATCTTTCGGAGCAAAATCCACCAGGTTTTAGTTACCCCCTTACGAACGCGCAGGCGTTCGTGCAGCGTCTTGACAACGACATGATGAACATACAGCGGCAGCTGAAATCCAACGACCAGAAGCAATGGGCTGAGTCACGATTAAGATGGGTATTTCATGGATATGATTGGAATGTCATGGGAATTCAAATCATGAAATCTAATTCAACATATGCTCTATATATATTATATATATACAGTATTTTATACACACATTCTATTGATTCTATTGTCAAAAGATTGATGATGCTGGTAATGCGGTATTTGGTGCTTTTGTTTTACTTTCTTCAAAAGAACCACGAGGCTACGCAAGGTTGTTTTAATAAACTGGTTGGCATAGAAGTTCCGACATTCATCAAATTAGCTTTGCGCCATGCATGTTCACCATGCTCTGCAAAAGAAGTGGAATAAGATGGACACATCAAGTGTAGATGGGGGGGTTCTCAACCATGTTCCATTTAGATTTCAGTGGGATAGCAGGGAATCCAGATGGGCACCCCTAAAATCATGGTTCAAAACCTGATTATTTGATGGCATATTTTACTCGGGATAACTCCTCAATTTCAGACACGCCCAGATTGCATTCTTGCGTGATCACCTGTAGGGATTTTGTGAGAGAAATGTCGGATGACTCGGATAACACGTCGTCACTGTAGGTTTGGCTGTGGCTTGCAGCTCAAACAGGTGCCAATCAGTTGACGTCTTGTTCTGGCGAATTATGATGAATTGTGGAGCTGCTATTCGACAAGTTCAACCATTTCCGCCAATCATAAGATCATACGTATATATATATATTAATATTTATATATATATATTGATATAATATAATATATAAAAAAATCTCTCTCTCTCTCTATATATATATATTATGTAAATATATTCTTGTATGAAGCATATCTGGATATTTATATACCTAGTAGACATCTTCGTATATTCATATGCCACCGCCTCTGAGGAGTTATGTGTTTGATGGATCCACTAATAAAAAGTATAGAAGTGCTACACAAAGTGCAGACAAAAGTGCAGTAGGAAGTGTCAGACAATTTGACAAAAGGGCACTGGAAACGAAGTGACAGAGTTTAAATACGGCTTTTGGTCTTTTGTCACGTTCTCGCTGATTTTGCATCCTGCAATATTCCTTCAAAAGGGAACAGTCCTGATTGTCAAAAGCAAGAGCACTGCAAGACGTGGGAATTTCTATAAAGCAAAACTGATTGTTTCGTCGAGCACGTGCAGTAGGTCAAGCACAAAGCACGTGCAAGTTTCCTTTTAGACACCACGATCCCTGTGAGAAAGTGTGGCGCATCTTTAAGAAAGTCTTACACTCCTGAATTCCAACGTGGAACTGCAGGCTATTCCTGAGGGCACCTAACTTGACACCATGGTACGGTCTCGAGTGGATTTAGTTCCCCAGGAAATCATGCAACTAACTTGTTTTAATCAAATCCCTCCAAAACTGACATGGAAATCATGTTAGGTGCTCTCAGGAAGGGGTCTAAGGTTCCGTGGTTCGATGTTGGTTTCAGGGTATGGGAGAGGTTGGGTTCAGAGAACGAACAGCGGAGGATTCACAGGAGGCGTTCGGATCCGCTGGACCTCCGGCTTGCGAAGCACGGAGAACACAGGGAAGCACCAGGGCGTCCTCGAAGCCTGGGGCAAACACAACGGGGCAGATCTAATCAATGCTGTGTCCAGACGGAAAGCATCGAACATGATCAAATGAATCAACATAATCAACTGCATATTGTGTCCATATTGTCTAAATGTCTAAATGAAATGCTAAAGCGATGAAATCAATATCTACTCACTGGATTCTGACTCAACCTGCGCAAAACATTCCTCACTCATTTTACTTTTGCTTTATTGTTGTCAAGCCCAAAGGGCAAAAAGTCGTACAAGTGCCTATTTTCTATATATATAATTATATATACCCGTTGGGTTCCATGTTCATCCTATTTCTCTATTGGGTGCTCATTTATTTTGAAGCATCTACACAAAACAATATGTAAACGAAGCAAACAATTCAATGGGAACTACAACAGGTACTACGGGTCCATGTTGGGTTCCATGTTGGTTTCCAGTGTGGGTTCGACGAAGGGGTGGCGGAGGAGAGACTGACCCGAGGGAACTAGCAGGAGACAAAACTAGGTGGGAAACAGCAAAGTGGAGGAAAATCTTATGATTTGAAATGGACCTACAGTACCTGCACCAAACATTCCCCTAAAAAAAACTATAAGGAACCCCGTCCCGGTTCAGCGGGAACTGCACTGTATACTGCAACTGGGGGAGGGGGAGGCATTTTGGGTTCCGTGTTGGTTCCAGGTCAGTGGCTGGGAAAGAACTGAAGCCAAAACACATCCAAGAAAAGATCATGTTGGCACTTATTTTTCGATCTTTTTCGATGTTTGTTGGGTTCCGTGTTCGTCGCACAACCTTCCACAGTAAATCGCAACGGGGTAGCACAACGGGAACACAGCATAAACGCTGGCTAAAATGTACACACTGTTCACGCGCTAACATGGCACCCAGCTTGCACCCAAACTTTATACGGCACCTTGAAAAAGCTGAATGTCCTGCACAAAATAAGGCCACCAGTCCGGATTCAACCGGTAAAGGAAAACTAGGATCCCCAAATCCATTCAAAATCCGGTTTCTTTTTGACTTTTTGTTTTTTCTGCTGTCCCGTTTCCCCCGACGAAATGTCCATTCAGGTTCTATGTTAGTTTTCGGGTTCCTGTGGCACATGAGAGTCCATGGTATGCAAATGGGCCACCAGTTCAGATTCAACCCAAAAAGGTCCAAATGATTCATTTTTTCCTTTAGCAGTTGTAAAGCAAAACTAGGATCCTCAAATAAATCCACTGAAATCTCTGTGTCAAGCGCCATTGGAAAACAATGATGGCTAGCATGGAAGTTTTGGATGAGCCCTCAATGGCAGCTTGCTGGGTTCTATATCGATATGAAAAGTGCCCAAAAAGTGTCCAAAAATGTTCAAATTCCCCAGCACCAACATGGCACCTTATCCCGCTCAGGAATTTTAACATAGGTGAGCCAACATGGAAACCAATTTGTATTTTGAGTTTTTTTTGTAAAATGCGAGTTTTCGGGAGAGTATTCCATCTTGTTCTTTCTACACACCTTTCACAACAAGTAAGGTATTCCTTTGCGAAAAGGAGAAACATTGGCATTTTGAGAGCCCATGCATAAAAAAATATAGCACGAATCTCAAGACAGCACTCCTTGAAGGAGGTAACTCCGCAACCACGGCATCTGTTGCAAAAGTCCATGGCCAATGCAAGAAAGTGCATCATTTGTCGGCATGGAAGCCTTTCGTTTTGAAGAACGTGCTATTTGTTTTAGGAGGTGTGAGTGTGTATTTTTCAGACATGCTGTATTTCAGTATTTATTGAAGACGGTGACCCAACGCTTCAAGCAACAAAAACTATCATTTCTGTGAAACAGAGCGGCATTCATGCGTGGAATTCATACGAACAAATGGCTAAATCATTAGACTAAGCTCGACAGAGTTTGTTTCCAAAGAGATGGAAAAAATGGAAGACCATCGTATCCTGTACTCGCACTATGTATCGTTAGGTTGAAGTGCTTTGAAGTTCCAACGGATTCAAGATTCAGGGGTTCCAATGAACAGATTTACCCTGTTTTACCCTGGTTTATCCACTCGAATTGTGCAATTTCAGTGGTGGGAGACCCCGTGCTCTCCAAATGCCGAGACGAACACCGCCTCCTTTTCTCAACGGCCTCTGCAGCCTGGCAATCTGTAGACATCGGCGGAATGAAGGCGGACACAGCCGATGTTGTAGCCGTTTTGAAGAGTTTTCCCCGGCAAGAGCAAGTGGTGCAGTTCCATGAAGTTCAATCTGGCCTCGTATGATATCTTCCGTTTCTGTCAAATTCAACCGATTCAATGGGTATTGGGATTTCTCAGATTTCAATGGATGTTTTATGTCTCGTTCCCATCTTCAAAGTACCCTTGATTTGCAAGAGCCGGAATTTTGGACGTGTCTCTGTCACAATCAACGTAGCACGTTTTTGTTGAAGCAGGTTGTTGATCAGGTAGGGAAACGGACTGATCGGGGATTGCCACACGAAGTGCAACACAGCAAAAGTGAAGCGCAGCCTTTTGTCACAGGAGGCTGCTAGTAGCGCCAGCCATTGGCTTTGTACCCTAGGGAAGTCCCTTGTGCCCTTGAGCCAAAATGGGTTTCGGGCCAGAAAAGGTTACCGGCACATATTGTATGTGCTCCAATGTCAATTGAGAGGCACTCAATTCACACTGGTGAAAGTGGAAAAAGAAAAGTTGGGTGAAAACCGGAGCTAAAAGCTACAGGAAAAATCCAAACCAGCCATCTTCAAAGGTCGCGCTCCCAGTCCTGCGGTGCCATCGCAGTGCCCAAAGTCTGGCAGCAGCGGGTACAGAACTCACGCTGGTGGATTCTTGTCGATGCTTGGCTTCTGACGCAGAAGTAATCTGCATGCCAGCATCTGCCGTGTTGGGTGAAGTAGATGGGATGTTGAACTCGGTGGTGTGCATTCAGTCGGGAGTTGGTCTCTTGGTCGTCCAACATCCTCTGGTGTTCTTCTCGAGGAATGTGCGTAGCTTCAATGCTATCCACCAATTGCACATACTCCATCTGGGTCACGAAATCACCCATCCGGATGTCAGTTTCGACACCTGCATCCACTAGGGCTGGTCTACTCGCTTCTTGGAAGTTTTCGACTTCAGCCTCGCCAGTCGCTCTCCACCAGGTAGTTGGGAAAGTCCATGTGGCCAAATGGCCCCTCATCCACCAGTAGCCGAAGAGCAAGGTCATGATCGTGGTGATGAGGATCGGGACAAGGTTGAAGTTCAGGTTGATGAAGTAGTAGTGGTTGGGGTTGTACTGGATGTCGACCTCCTCAGCGCTGCAGGTTGCCATCATACACATGGAAAACATTGCAGCCAGTGCTCGAGAGGGCTTCTTCTCGGCATACATCAGGGCGTTCTGTCTTCGTTGTTTCGGGTCCTTCTTCTTCGAGGCTTCGAAGGTGATGTCACTGGTCAGCTTGACCATATGGGTGCGTAGTCTGTCGGCCAGGAGTTGGGCCGCGCTTTGCTTCGTCAAGCCATCTGAGTATTGTCTCTCAGATGACACCCACATAGTTGCACCACCGCAGCAACAGAGCTTGTCTTGAGTAACAAGTACTTCTATTGTTGTTCTTTTATCAGTTCCACTCGTTGCTTGCAACTCGGGCTTGGTCAGCAAGTCATAGAGGGCCTTGGCGTCCACGACCAGCTTCGGAGCATGCACCAATCGTGCCGTCTCAACCTGGTCCAAAGGTAGCCACGGCTTCCAGATCAGGTTCCAGAAGGTGCTCGTGAAGAGCAGCGAGTCTGCTGCTTCGCTGGCGGCTTGACTCTCCGCCGCCAAAGTTGATCGAGCGATTCGGGCCAACTTCCATGATCGCCAGTCAATGACGTTGTAATGCCCTTCAGCTCCATTGGCAACGTCTTTGTGGACCATCAGGAGGATGAAACCACCTTGGCTCGAATGGTCATTGCGACATCCGAAGGAGGCATCGGAAAAGGCTATGAAGGTCACCTCGTCCTTGCCACCCAAGTGCCTGTACTCAAGGCCGACGTCAGAGTTGGCCTTGGCATATCTCAGTGCTTTGTTCATTGACTCCAGAGTCTTTGTTGTTGCACTGGTTATCTCCCCAGCAAGCAAACTTGTGGTGGCCTGAAGGTGGGGTGCTGTTTGGGTAGCCGGCCAGGCTAGTGCACCTAGAAGACCACGCAGCGCGGTGCGCTCATTCTCCGTTACAGGAAGGTCCTTGTTCTGGCGCTCCTTGGGTATGGTGATCGGCTTCTGTCGCTTGAAGTAGTCACCTTGGAAGATCTTCCAATGGCCATCTGAAGTTTTGGAGATTTGGGCTCCACAGTACGTGAGCTCCTCCTTCTCGGACCCAGAGTGCCACTCGCGGAACTTGAAGACGTTCTGCAGGTTGTTGATGATCTCCTGGGTCGCCGGGTCCTCAGTGTTGTAGGCCCCGAAGAGGTCGTCCACGTGGATCCCAAAAATCGCCAGCAACTTCGGCTCTTGTTGATTTTCAGCACCAAGTTGAATCGGTCGATCGTAGGCCAGAAAAAGACAGCTATCCAACGGATGTTGAATGATTGCACCTTTGCCAGTCTCCAGGATTCGGGTCACTGCCTCATCAAACCAGGCTTTCGGTGCATCCACCAAGCCATACATCGGCTTTGTCAGTCTCATGACCTGCCCATGATCTCCTTGGAGCCCCAGGATCTGTTCAGCTTCTTTGGGAAGCTTGATCCACAAAACTCTGTCTGAGTTGGGGTCGTACTTCTTTCCTTGGAGGAAGGCGGTCGTGATGTCGGCGGTGAAAGGGGTGTAGCCCAGCATAGAGGTGATGCTCAGGATCAGGCTTCTTGACAATCTCGTCAAAGTCGGGGAGGCCGTTGTCAGTGATCCATTCAAAGCATCAGGATCCTTGAATCCTTGGCATATCAAGCGAGCTTTGGCTCGGCGCCCACCATTGTCATCCTTCTTCCAATTCAGGATGAACTTGGCACGTATCGTGCGGGGGCGTTTGTCCTCGGTCATGGTGTCGAAGACCCAAACATCGTTTTCAAAGAAGGACTTCAGTTCTTTCTCCTTAGCCTCAAGAAAGGCCAGTCTGTCTGCAAGGGACATTGATCGTTCACTGAGCTGCTCGTGCTGCATGTAGATGGTCTCGGTGTTCTGGCTCTTGTCATAAAAGTCCTTGTAGGCTTGTCGTCTCCAAGAGGTATGGCTCTTGAAGCGGGTGTAGCCCGTCCAATCGTAGCCCTGAAGTCTGGTGCACGGTGTGCTCCTCGTCCACTTGTCGCGGATCACCTGGCCATTCGACAGCTTGGTGATGCGCTGCTTGGTCAGGTACTTCAGGTCGATGGGGCAATTCTCCGCCGTGGGGGTGAACTCGCAGTCACGAGCTCCATAGTGGCGCTTGGTGAGGTAGTTGCCCTCCAAGATCCATTCGTCTCGAACTTGTCTAAGTTGGAGAAAGCCATCTTCCACAGTCCAGCCAGATGGAAGCACCATGCCCTTTGGGACAACATCCACATCGCAGGCAAACTCAAAAGTTTCTTTGGAGTTCTCTCCAACTGGTCTCTCTGAGTAGGGCGTTGGCCTGTTCTCAGGCGCATTTCTCGCAGGCCCATAGCCAGAAGGCTTCTTGAAGAGCAGGGATTCCTGCTGTTCATATCGGCTTCGTTGAGCAGCAAAGGTTTCTCCGCCAGCAGGAGCTTGATACAGTCGTTGTTGATCAGGTGGTACTGGAAGATGTGACTCCGTCAGGGAAGGCACAACAGGTTCTTCCAGCGGTTCAGGCTCCATCACGCTTTGCACCGTTGGTGATACTGGTAGATCTGGTACTTCTTCTCCAGGTGCGAGAGCTTCTCGTCGATCTTCAGGAGGAAGTGCTTGATGTCGATGTCCAGGAGTCGAAGTAGAGGAAGTCGGTCTCGCCATTGCCTTGGAAGCCAAACCAGGAACAGCAGTGGTACCAGCAGGTCCAGCGGAACCTGAGGGTGGTTCTTCATCGGGAGGTTCTCCAGCTCCTTCATGATCTGAATCCAAAGGTGTGGTGGGGGCGTATCCCTCCGACATGTTGTCCACATCTACGATGAAGGTCGTAGTTCCTGTCCAAGTGTAGTGGAGTGCGCGATCTGCATGAGGTAGTCGCCACTCATCTCGGAATCGTAGATGTTCAGGATTGGGCCCACCGCGCCTCACATCGGTGATGCGCTCATCTTTGAAGCGGTGGACTGGGATGTCCATCTCGGCAGCAGGAACATAGAGCTTCTGCCTGGGCACGTTGTGTATCCGTGTCCAAACCTTGCCATCGTCACTGATCTGCCATCGATCTGGTGGTAGGTCTTGCACTGTCAGAGGATCCATGTCTCTGTCGTCTTCTCCCTCCTCCTCATCGGTGTCCACTTCGTCACGTCGTCTCTTGTTGGTCTTGCTCAAGTCCACATAGTGGGTGACACCTCGGTTTCGGATGTGTTGGAGGGCATCCTTTGCAACGACCAAGGGGTCAGTGGCCTTCTCAGTGAGGTCGACGGCAGCTTGTGCAGCTTTGACATGTTCTGGAGCCGCACGAAGTAGGACAGTCCCATGCCCAAGCCAGTAGATGTCGGAGTTGGGGCCCGATGCACCTGCCTCACGCATGATGACAGTGGCTGGTCCACGCCACCTCAACTTTGCATTTGATCCTGCAGGGGCATCTCTCCAGTAGTAGCAGAGGTCGCCCGTGTTCAAGAGCGTCTGCTGGCCCATGAACTTCCGTAGAAGGGCCCGCCGTAAGCGGCGGTCCATGTCGGCCTCTGAAGTGGCCTTCACTGCCTGCTGCTTCAGCCTGAGTTTCTCCATGAAGGCTTCTGACGGGTCCAGCGTCGCTGGGTTGTGCAGGTTCTGTTCTTCCATGAGCAAACCTGGCACGTGGGGAGTATATCCCAAGGTCCATTGGACTGGGCTGAAGCCACAGACATTCGGTGTTCTGTTGATCTGGGGGGCCACATAATTCAACGCTGTGATCAGCGCATCAGGCGAGCTTGCAATGCTCGGGTTGCCGTCCAAGAAGAGGTTCAGGGCTCTGCGTGTCACCTGATGGCGACGTTCCAAGATCGCCAGCCTGGTGTGGGACTGGCCAGGGCTGATCTGGAGTTGTACTCCGTTCTCGGTGCACCATTGTCGCATAGCATCCGAAGACCAAGCTCTGTGCTCGTCCACCTGCAGGATGCGCATTGGTCCGAAGTTACGGATCCATGCACGCTCCAAGTGCTTGATGAACTCCTCAGTCTTCTCGCCACCATGCAAGTGCCTAGCAGCCAGCAAGCGAGTGGTGCAGTCAGACATCATCAGCACTGGTTGTTGTTGACGTTGTCCAGGAATCGTCACCCACAGGGTATCTGCTTGAACTCGGTGATTGAACTGGGCGTCCTTCGGCATGCTGGAGACCGGAACACCTGTTGGTCGTCGATGTAGATCACATAGACTGCACTCATGTTTGTGTGCAGCTTCAATCACAGAGCTCGAAGCGTTCTTGTTCTTGAGCAACCTGATGAGCTCGTGTTTCGTCGGATGTCCCAGATTGCGGTGCAGCCGCAGTACAGTTCTTTTGGCCTTCTGCCAGTCTTCATCATTCAGCCGATTCAGGACACCCTTGGCTGGTGCCTGTTCAGGCTCATCCGCAGGGCTCTCTTCCATGTCGTCCGGCAGCTCGACGGCCTCGATCTCCTCAGCAACGGGGTCGTTGGACTCGTTGAAGCCAAAAGCGTCCTCGCCCTTGTACTGGAAGATCCGCTCGATGGCCTCTTTGAAGTGGTAACACATTTGAAGTTGGTATTGTCCAGCGGCAGCAGCTCGGGATCCAATCCCTGGGGAGGTACCCTCGATGGGGAGATGATCATGTCCACCTCGGCAAGGGGTGGTCAGCTCCATGGCCATGTCCATGTCGGTGCATCGCAAGGCGGTGCTCTTCTTGATGGGGACATAGTCACCATTTTCGTCTGGTAAGACACAGCCGTACTCACATTGGTCGAAGAGGGCGTCATGGCCATCCACAGCCATCAGTGTGGGAGTTCCCCAGCTGCGAGCATTCTTTGGTTGTTCCAAGCCGGCATGCCGGCCTTCTCGTTGTTGTTTCTGAAAAGCACGTTTGCACATCTTGAGGTGAGTGTTCTCCTCATAGTCTCGGTCAGCCTGGAGGGCGATCTGCTTCTCCGGGGTGTCGATGTTGAGGTTCTGCAAAGAAGACCAAACCGTGCAAGGTGGGGCCAGCCATACAAACTCAGGACACGTTGCGTCCAGCAGCTTCAGGAAATCTCGTCGGTGGTCAGCTCGGGTGAAGTCCCAGCCGGTGTTGTAGTCAAAGCTCATAGTTTCCCAGCCAGCTTCAGCCATGACAGCGCTGAGATTTGCACTGCCGCTGTAGACTTCCCAGAAAACCTTGCGTCCAGCCTCATGGGCTATCAAGGCTTGTTCCACCACGGTTCTTCTCTGCTTGGAGAACTTGTTGAAGTTCATGTTCAGGGATTTCACCAGTTTGCTGGTGATGGGTCTTCTCACCTCAGAGGGATCGTCCCCAACTGCAATCTCGGGCTCGTACAGGTTGAGGTCGATCTTGTCGATGTCCTCGTCCGCCTGGAAGGCAGTCTCAGGTCCAGAGCGGTTGGTGGTGGCCAGGTACTCGTGGATGTCGATGTAGTCGGAGAGGTCCTCGTAGTTGGTGATGGCGTTGAAGGTCTCGTCAGTCACGTAGTCAAAGTCCACGTTGTTGCCATCAGGGTCGTTTTCGACTCCATCGTCCAACCTCAGGAGAAATTCTCCTTTCTCACCTTGGGTGACGGTTGTCCAGGGGCCATCACCAATTGACATCTTGTTGGTGTCATAGTCCATCTTCAGCTTCAAGGCCTGCAAGATCGGCCTTCCGACCAAAAGCGGCGTGTTGCCTTCGACCACAAAGCATTCCATGTAGCCAGTCCTTCCACCAATGTAGACTGGTAAGCGGACTGACCAGTCAGCTTGTCTCGAAGCGTCACCTCCAAAACCAAAAGTCTTGTTGGTCGGCATGAAGAGGAACCGGTCAGGGCTGATGCCACGAACACGCACGTAGTCCACGATGCGCATCAAGACATCGTGACCACAGACAACTGAGCTTGCACCTCCATCTTGAAGTCCAAACCATCCAGCAGGGCCCAGGTGTGGTACTCCTCGAGGTCCTTGTTTTGCCATATCGCGCACCATCATAGCAGCTCCATCGTTGCCCTTGGCCTTCTTCGACGGAGAAGTTGAGGTAGGAGAGGAAGTAGGGCTCTGCCGTGTCGTAGACTTCGAAGGTGAGTTCTGGGGGCAATGAGCTGCCCAGTGTCCAACTTGGCCACATTTGAGACAACGTGTGGCGTTGGCTCGCTGTGGAATCTGTCCTCCCTTGTTGACCCAGGTGCTGGTCTTGTTCTTGGACTTGGTCTTGGACTTGGATTTTCCACGGCCTTTGGCCTTTGGAGGTCTTGGGCCTTGTGACATCGGGGAACCAGCAGCTGATCCACCTCCATCAGTCAGGGCCACAACCGGGAAAAATCCTCGAGAGGCTTTCAGGTGCGCCATCTGGCGACGGGCATCAAGATACGTTGCAAACGCATCTTCATAGTTCTGTTCGGCCTCCCAGTATGTCTCGTCGGAGACATCCACCTCCTCGTTGGCGGCATAGGTCTGCTCCTCGTACTCGTCGTCCTCATAGTAGGCATCATCCCAAGGCTCGTCGAACTCGGTGTCGTCGAAGTTCTCGTCGTAGACCATGTTGTCATCCTCAGCCTCATAGAAGTCCTCGGTGATGTAGCCTTGTTGTCGTCCTCGCCAACGGTTCGGGGATCCATAGCCTTTGCCACGCCAAGATCGGTCAGCATTCTTGCCCTTGTAGTCCTGCCCAAGCAAGAAGTACATTGCCTCCGTCACAGCCTTCTGCGCATAGTCAGGAGCTCTTCCTTGTATGAGCTGCTTTTGTTCTTGCGAGAGGCCAGCTCGACGAAGTAGTACCCAACCAGCAACCTTGTCGGGCAAGGAGATTCCATGCTTGTCCAGTTCTGCCAATGCCTCGCGGTGCTCGGCCACATAGTTCAGAAGCGTCTGTCCTTCACGGCGTGAGGTGCCGTAGAAGAACTTCTCAAAGGCTCTTGGCATCTCAACTTGGTCGTCATACTTGAACGTCTGATCCAATTGTCGAAGGATCAGATCAAATCCATCTTTGTCCTCGGAGGCCTTGTCGACCAGGTGCTCTATCTGGCGCCAAGCTATGCCAGTCAGGCTTGTCATCAAGTTGATGCATGCTTCCTTCTCCTTCTTCTGTATCTCCATCTTCCGTCGGTAAAGAGCTATTCTGGCTCTCCATTCTCGGTAGTCCTCTGGCTTGTTCGAGAAGACAGGGATGTAGGAGTCCTTGACGATGTCAACTCCAGGTGAAGGCGAAGAAGGGAAGCTCGAAGAAGACATTCTGCAAGATGTAGGTCGCCCAAGCCAGCACAGCACGAAGAGCGTGAGGATCTCGACAGCGAAGTAGTGGGAGTGAAGCGTTGGGCTCGATGTAGTTAAAGTTCAGGATGAAGTGGTGGTAGTAGAGCTGGGTAGGGAGCCTGGTAGGCTCCGCTACCAATGTTGATCAGGTAGGGAAACGGACTGATCGGGGATTGCCACACGAAGTGCAACACAGCAAAAGTGAAGCGCAGCCTTTTGTCACAGGAGGCTGCTAGTAGCGCCAGCCATTGGCTTTGTACCCTAGGGAAGTCCCTTGTGCCCTTGAGCCAAAATGGGTTTCGGGCCAGAAAAGGTTACCGGCACATATTGCATGTGCTCCAATGTCAATTGAGAGGCACTCAATTCACACAGGTAATTTCGGAGTTCATCCTTGTCTTTGACATTTGCAGAGGGGACTCTTCTTGGATACCCGTGAGCCAATGCGGAATGAGAGACACTTGTCAAAGTCGGCAATGCACATGTTGATCAAATCAAGATAGTTCAAGTATGTATCGAAGATATTCAAGGGTGTCAGTTCGGGTGTCAGCAGTCTTCAGGCAACGCGCCCGTGGATCTGGCGAGAGAGGAGTGCCAGACGGAAATCTTGAACTTGCTGATGGACGAAGCCTCTTGGCTGCATGGTTCGGCCTCAAGGACTGCAGTGGCCCAAGGGTGTGAACGGATATAACTTGATATAACATAGTGAAACTTCTGGCACCTGTGGGGATGGAAAACTTGAAAGGGGCGTGCGATAGTGCAAGTCCAGACCGGGGGAGGTTTATGCAGCCAATTTTGGGCAAAAATGAAATGGGCAAATCATCGTCCCAAGCCACCTGCCAACAAGTGAGCATAGATCAGCCACGAATCTGAATGTACAGACTTGATTTGGTACCCATGCATGGGATTCTCTGTGTTAACCCCGCTGACCCTTTCCAGTTCCATGGTCTTCGGAGACAACATCAAGAACAGGTTGGATGTTTGTTGATTGTCTCCAGCTACACATGGCCTAAGGGATTCAAAATGTCACAGATGGGTATGCGCCGAAGTACCACAAGGACCAAGGAGTTGGTCATGTGTTCGTTCATGATGAGCTTAGACTTATCAACATCTCCGTATTTTCAGGTATTTTCAGGTTTAACCCTCAAACGGTCCAACCATTGTGAAGTGCAAATGTTCTGTGCACCTTCTCACCGCCCAAGGCAGGAACCGGAAGGCCTGACACATGGAGTAGTTGAGCGATGTTTGCGAATCCGCTTGATGTTTTTACCAAGCAGCACAAGGTGAGCCTCCATCAGTTTGCAGGAATGATAAGTACATCTCTATATAGAAGATCCCGTATTAAGCACTAAATCATTGCAAAATGCTAATGAATTTGACACCTGCCCAGGCCCATGTCCATTTGGATGGCCCGGGCCCCGGTAAGAAATTTCAATAAAGTATTATGTGTATCGATATGTCAATGCTTCGTTTTTGAGAGGTATAGAGTCCATAGTGAAATTTAATTCAAGTTGCAGTTCTACCCTTCAACCCGAGCTCTTAGCAAGATCACGTCAGATCTGCAGTATAGCCTTTGACATTGTTTGAACATGAATTTTGCAGGGGTTAGCTCCTGGTATTCCTCTTAGAAACTCATCGAACAGCATCATTCTCGTGTTTGTTTGCCTTCCCATCAGGCAAAGTTCTCCCCGGCCTGACAAAGTGGTCTCTGCGTAAGCTCCTCAGGGTGCCGAGGGTTGATGTCCAAAAAATCCGAAGTGGTAGGGAAGCTCATCCGACCTCTGTGCAAAAAGGGCATGCTTCCCCATTTTTTGGGACACCTAGACCTAAATTTGAAGACATGGGAATCGAGTCGGTGGTGGCCTGTGACCACTAGTCACTAGAGATATGGATCAACCACTTGTTTTGTTTCTTTTGCTTTGTGGGTACCGAGACGGCATTTTTCGTTCATTCTGAGTTTGTTCTATTCTTTGCTCAACCACTGGTAGAACCCAAGGCCCAGGTCTTTTCGGATTCTGATCCAAGCAGCTTCAACATTCCAAACTCCATAGGTCTGGGTCAACTCCTTGGGTTTTCCGATGGGATGGTTAACACAAGAAAGCGACGAACATGTGTGGCCCATTCGGCTTCCCCATTTGCGCTCAGCTCCGTCTTTGGTGAGGCACAGCCATTGAATTCCGGGCCAAAGCTGCCTTTGAGGTGCATCCTCTGGTGATAAATTCTGCGCTGCCCAGCTCCGTTGGGATCACAAAAAAAAAGTATATAGGTCAGAATTGGGTTCCTTCGAAATAAAATGGTTTCAATTTGTTCCAAACATTATCCCATACTTTCCAAAATGACCCAAGATCTGTGGCTCTATGGCGTCTCTGTTTGGGATAAGGATTGAGCTCAGCAAGTGGCTTCTGCGAGCTCTGCAGTGCAGGCATCAATGGCATCGCCTTAACATGTTTATTCCTGTTGGTGGTTGATTTGTTTTGCTTACTTCCAAATAGTCAGTCTTCACAGTAGTGACATGGGCAAAAGATCTCGAAATGACCCGCCAATCCAAGACATTCAGCTTAGTTTTAGAATCATGCCAGTGGTATCTCAGCCAGGACTTTCTTCCAACGCAAGAAGCAACAACTTCCCGAAATATGCCGGGTAGGTGAAAGTCCTTCAGTTGGAGTTGGATCACATCTCGTACAACTGTTGGGTGCTATCTCAATGATTACCGGCAAGATCTTCAGGGTCTTGATTTCATTTCTTTGCGTTGGATGTATGCGCCGTGCTTAAGTTTCATGTGGGAGCAAAGTGCCATGGATGTGAATGTCACACCGTTTCCATTTGGGAGTCAAGCATGCATCATCTTTCAGCCATTCGTACAAGTACTAGCTACTAGGGCATATTGGGGCTATTATTTGTTGCTCGAAGGGAAGTCGAGGTTCAATATACATAGCATCCACTCTACGAACCATTCATGGAACATTTCACTACGGGTTCCCCATTCTGGGCGAATTCCCATTGCACAAAACGCACATGCAATGGTGGCCTTTGATATGATGGCGGGATGTCTCAGTTGTGCTGGGCTGGGAGCTGAATTCCTCATAACTTTGCTTGATGCCGCGAAAACTGGGTGTCCTGGATTGTTCTTTAGTTTTTGATCTTGATCAAGCCAAGGGCAAACTTGGATTTGTCCTTGCTTTTTGGAAAATCAGTGCGGCAGATTTCCTGGAAACTTGATGCTGTCAAATTACATTTGTTGAATCGGTGCTGGCTTCATTCCCTGGAAAGGCCTTCTTGAACGCATTTTCTCGCTGTCTGAGGCAGAAAGTCGAGGAGAACGGAAATTTTGAGTGCAAAGGAACCAAGAAATTGGGAAGTAAATTGTTCCAGCAATTCTGAGTTAACAGCCATGAATTCAACATCATCATCTTCTGGTCCCCTGTTTGTGACTCTCACAGTGTCGCATAGCTGGCATCGCAACAATCCTCCCGCCCTCTGTTGGTGGGAACAAAACCGGATATTTGTGGGGGCTTTGTGGGGAAGCACCCTTGATGAAGCTATGTTTTAGGAATAGAGGCATTGACTTGGGTATGTGGACTTGCAGAGGGTACACTGTTTTGCCCTATTGTTGTAAACTCAGTGAATCCCTCACCCACATTGACATCAAATGCCACTCAGCCAAGTCTCTTCCAATGGTGTGAGGAGCAGCCACCATGATCGCTTCCTACAGTGGATTGAGTGGCCAACCAGTTCGCAGCTAGGATGGTGGTGGCAAGTGACATGAAATATGCCCCAGAATGGCAGGACGAGCGGTGAGCTACCAATTTGTGAGGTGAGGATCACATAGGCGAACCATAATTCTGCAACCCTGTGAACCTATATAGAAATTGATTTTAATCATAGCTTCGAATTCATTAATACAGCAAACTGCTAGCAAACTGAAGCAAACAATTGGACCAGAATTGTAAGTGCAGTGCAAGAGGGCCTGTCGAATCGTGCATGCGCAGGCAGTTTTTTTGCTTTCAAATGTTTGCTTGGCGCATACAAGGCATCTTTATTGACTGGGACATGGGTAGCGGACGCGCTTTGGCAGATGCATTCCACAACGTGTCGAATGAACAATAACTAGCGAGCAACCAATCTTCTGACAGGGTTGTTTTGGGCTCGTAATGCATGCACATTCAGATATATCATATGCCTTGGTTGCAGTAGAAGAAATGAACAAATCTGAAAAGGGTTTCTAAAGCGCAAGTTGGTTGGGAAACCGTCTCCATTTTTGCCATATCATGCAATGAAGAAGTACACTTGCCCTTTGGCGTGTCACCATTGTATGTTTGAAGATCTTGAAACGTACAGTTTCTTCAAGAGGATTGCACCGTCGTCGATTTCCTTCTGAGTATGAAAAAGAGGGTAGCCGCGAATTGCATGGAGATAAGTGATAGAGTGTCGAAGAGTACTATAACATGCTGGAGTGACATGCTGGGTGATGCTGGAGGTGCACTGGTTGAGTCTGCTTCGCCTCTGAAAACTGATCCGCTGACTGCAGATCTTGGCTAAAATACAGTGTCATCCAATTTGTCGAAGCATGGGCTGCGGCATCTCCCAGGCCGTCCAGAACTTGTTTGTTGTGGCTGATTCTCTCAAAGACAGTTTCCTTTGTATATTATTATTATTATTTATGTATATATATATACATACATAATATATATAATATATATAATTACATATAAATATAAATAAATAAATATATATATATATATGTATAATTTTAATAAACACTCTGATCACTCTGTGGGGGGCACTCCTTGGCCAAACCCCAAGTTCTGGGAGCTCCTGAAGAGGCAGAGCGTTCTGAGCTGCCACTGTCGCAGGCGGATGGGATGGTCCTGGAGATGAAGTTTTTGGGATGGTCCTGGGAATCCTGACCATCCCAAATGATGGATATTCAATGGTTTTGATGGGAAAAATTGGGCGATCCAATGATGTTTTGGATTCCCAAAAAATGGTTTTGATGGTTTTTCATACTGACTGATTAGTATATTGATGAAATTTTGATGGATAGTTTTTTGGAATATCATCAATGTTTGGAATAGACTGATTATCAAAAATTGGGAATCATTAGTTTTTACGGAGATGAAGTTTTTGGACAAAAATGGGTTGTCCAATGATTTTTTGATGATATTGGGCTTATCCTAATCTGCCAAACAATTTTTGAGCAGATTCGTTGGGAGAATGATAGACCTATGACCCTCACAATATGATATGTGGGTGTCGGGAATAGTGAATTTCATGAATTGCAATGATGGGAATAATTATATATGTCCATACCCACAACAGATTCTGGGTGATTAGCAATGATAAACAGAACAAATAGTAGGTGCAATAATGACGGGGATGATTGGATAACCAACAATACATGTGTCCGACATTTTGACTGGAAACATGAGGTTTGAAACCATAGATTGGACTGGGGGCAGCGCCCGGTAGCGCAGTTTTGGCAAACTCAATGATTAAAATTTGAGGCTGAAGTCGATCAACGAGCAGAGCGTGAACCTCCAAAGGCGGGCGATGGAAAACAGGTAACAGTATGCGCCTTGTTCATAGTTCCATATCGTAGCAGTAGCGCAAGTGAACGAA